GGGGTCTAAACAACGGAATCTTAACCCCAATCCCACGGGGTGATGAAGGAAGGGTATGGATGGGGTGGCTGGGACTGGAGTGATGCACCGTTTTCGTCCTACATCTTCATTTTAAAATCAGTTTTCGCCCCACTTTCTCAGACACGATTCTGTACGTTTTCGTCCTACATTTGCAATATGATGTAACTGATTACCATTCAATACTTATGATCGTCTCTCTCCGTGCATCATAAAACCGGCTTGAAATCGGGAGTGGCCATTGCAGTAACCTAAAAAATAACGCTCAAAGTTGGCTATAGTTGGTAGATATCTATTTTTGTTATTTTGTGCCTCTTCATCAATCATATGACATATGATCTGACCTAGAACTAGGGTTCATTATCCTTTTGTCTCAGAGGACACGCTAATGAATACAGCGTGCACAAGCTGAGATTCATATTCAAACCATTTCGTTTGAGAGAAAGAGAAAATTATGAATTTAATACAATAAAGAGGAAACTATTTTAATAGTCCACAACCTCTTCAAAACTTATCAGACAGTGACCAGTTCGCATCAATAGATTTTAGTTTTAGTAAAAGTTTTAAGGCACTTGCAACACAATAAGGTCATATAAGTGCCGAAGATTAGAGGTGTTACAAGGGAGTAACAAACACAAAAAAGGAGGAGAGATAAAGACGATAGATTTTTTATAGGAAAGAAGGAGCAAACCACACCAGAGCACCCGCCAATCACCAACAACTAGGTTTGTTAGTATGGTACCAATAACAGTACACAATTGTTATTGACGATAACAATATTATTATTATAATCATTTTGTATAATTATTAGTACCCTAAGGTATTTAAAATGACACGCATTGACGGCGTGCTTCTTTTCGCTGTGTTGACGAGCCATAGCATACATACATAAAATGGGATTAGAAGGCCTCTGTAAGCTATCTTTTCCAACGTGACAGTTCAGCCGCCTAATTTTACCAGGAGCACATTTGGACAAAAGTGTCACTGAAGAGTAGACTACGTCCAGAGAGCTGACGACCACCTTTCTCGAGGCCCATAACGATGGGATATGATAACAACAACAACAACAACAACAATAACAACAACAACAACACAACAACAGCAACAACAACAGCAACAACACAACGACAACAACACAACAACAACTTGAACACAAAAACAAAAACGTCAGCAGCAACAACAACAACAACACCAACAACAACAAAAACAACAACAAAAACAACAACAGCAGCAACAACAACAACAACAACAGCAGCAGCAATACCATCAACAACAAATATTAATATTATTATTATAATAACATAGGTCTGACAGCGACTGATAATACTACCTCGGAATTAAATATTTTACCTCCTTGGAACCTGCAATGTTTACAGGAGTGATCTATTCCATGCCCAGGAGTTTGGTTTTTTTAAAGTAGCAGGTGTTTTCACACTCCCAATGACACATTATAGATCATTTAGGAGGTAGACTTCCACCTTTCCTGACAGGGCTTACCAGGGCTGAGAGGGATATAATATATATAACATTCCCGCAGAAAGATCGAGATGCTCTGAGCTCAATACAAATCTCCCCATTACGGAATCGAACACATGTCTTCAGTGTGCGACAGGGAAGCGCCTCTATATAACCGCTACACCAAAAACACCGGTCATACAAATATTTATGATTTCCATTACCTTAAAAAAAAAGGAATGCCGTCAAGATTCGAATTGTATCAAAACGACGAACGCAAATATAACAGAATTTAATGGTCTCATTAAAAGGATATATGTCAGCGCGTAAAATTTAGTTTTCTATTTACGTTCTGGACTGCGCCTTGTACGGGGATTACAAGGGAGAGAAGTAAAACGAGACAAAAGTAGAAAGAGACACGCAAAAAAGAAAAGATAAAAAGACGAACTTTCAGAGACACCGGTTAGAGTATAAAACGGCGAAGAGGAAGAAAAAGAATTAAAATAATAGACTCTACGAATGAACGCTTAAAATGGATTAAGAGACTATTTTAGTCTTTGTCTTCATTGTTAAAATACTCTCAAGTTGTTTCAAGTTACACTTTATAATATTGCTTTGTGG